CTTTGGGTAGTGATGTAACGGCGGCGGCGATCGCGGGCGCTCTGCGCTGCGCGCGCGGGGCCGCGGCTTTATCGGGCGGGCGGGCGGCGGCCGCTGGGGAAGGGGCGGCGCGTCCGCCGTGGGGCGGGCCGGGCCCGCCGAGGCCTGCGGGGCACCCCGGCTTCCCGAGCGGCTGCGGGGCGGCGCTTCGGAGGCCCCCGCTGCACACCTTTTCTGCTTGGAGGGCAGATCTTCATCGGGGGCACTCGTGCGTCCTGTTTCCCCAGGAAGGCTGTCCCGGGGGCCGTGGGGCCCCGCGCAGCTCCAGCGGTGGCGCGGGGGGTGCAGGCGCGAGAGGAACCCCGAGCTTCATCGCCTCCTTGCCCCCTCCCCCCGCTTCCCCCAGGATCCTGGTCCTTCTGTGACTGAAAGGGGACCAGCTCTTCGTGGGAAGTGGACTCCAGCCCAGGTGCAGCTTTGCTCGCCTTTTGCCCCGACCCTCCTCGCAGGGCCTCCCGACTGCATCCGTAGCATTTCCTGGGGGAGGCGCTGCTGTGGCGAGCAGGAGCAGGGAAGCCCATTTCTGCCACTGCAGTGGAACCAGTGTGAATCAGGATGCTGCCCAGGAGATGCTTGCCCTTCGATTCGTGTGCTGCCTGTCGGGGGTCAGGTGCAGCTGCATCACCTGCAGCACGGAGAGAAGGTGCCAGTCCACACTGCAGGGCACGATCCAGACAGTTCCCTGCAGGGCTCATCAGGGCTCTTGTCCTTCATGCTCTTATTGGCGGCACTTCCATTGCTGCTTGTTAGCATCTTCATGTTTGGCCTGTACCCTGCCCCCAGAAGAGCTGTCCCCGTCGTATTTTCTCCTCGCAACACCCCTGTGAGGTAGGCTAGGCTGAGATGCCATCACCAGTGGTACCGTGTGGCCAGGGACACGCCTGGAAGGGCCGGCATTTGAGCCTGTTCTTCGTCCCAGTCTGGCCACAGGCCGTGGCAGTGGCAGGGAAGGTCTAGCAGAGCCCATTCGGATTGCGCCACACACCAGGAGAAAGGTGGCCACGGGATGCGGCTAAGTGCCCATCAGCATCAGGGGCCCAATCCTGCACAGCCGGGACAAAGCCAGCCCACAGGTCACTGCCCGGTCTCTCCGCCCGGCAGCCTGCGCGGCCGTTGCAAGTCTGCGGAAGTTCTCCTAGACCTCGGGGGCCGGTCCCACCCCTCCTGTTCCTCAGCCACTTGGAGTGCCAGGTGCATGGGGCAGCTCCACCTCTCACCTGCAGCGGCCATCCTGCCCTTGTCTGCAGCCTCGGCAGGAGGCTCCCGAGGGCTCCAGGCGCGGTGTCTGTAATTAAAAACCCAACACTCTCCGTGTGTGAGCCAGGGGTGACACGGGAGGGCTGCGTGCCCCTCACTGCCCCACCGGCAGCCCCACACTGGCTTCTGTCAGCAGCAGCAGCAAGGCCTTGTGGGGCCAGGTCCTCCTGGGGAGCGGGGCACCCCAAAAGAGGCGCTTGCCCGCCAGGTGGCCTTGAAGGGTTTGGGGATCCTGTGTGACGCCAGGGAGTGAGCCTGCCCTCGGTTTGCACGCCCTATGCTTTCTCTCACCCACTCTTGGAAAGTGTACCCAGGGCAGGCAAAGCTTTTAACCCCATGCTGTCCAGGCAGCAAAGATCCTTGATGCACCCCAGGCTTATTCTGTGTCTAGAGAGAGGAAGAGCTTTCTGCCCAGCTGAGAAGCTAGCAGGCAAGGGCTGGGAGGGAGGCCCATTCTGCAGGGGTGGACTCTCCGCCGCGGTCCCCCGTGTGGGCAGGAAGGGTGCAAGGCACCCACAGGATGGGGTGCCAGGCCTGGGCTGAGCTGGGCTTTGCTTGTGTTCAGCCCTCTCCCACCTGGCTATGTCCTTCCCGCCTGCTTCCATTTTCTGAGCCCCCAATCCTTGTGCCGTTTTGCTCTGCACTTGCCACTATGGGCATGCGGCTCTTCCCAGACTTAGGTCGATGGTGGGCGGGCGCTTGGTCCTCTTGCTGGCCTGTGCGATCGCTGCCTGCCAAGTGACTGCGCCTCTTTCCTCGGGGTCTTTGGCTGTTTCCTGTTGGGGCGATTTCCAGGTGTCTCCGGACAAGGGGGCTTTCTGCTGACAAGGTCACTTTGCTTAACCGTTTTAAGGGGAAGGCCTCACCTCTCCCCCGCGGGGATTCCAGGGTGCTCATTATCGGCCATTCTGATCGCACATCCACACTCGCAGGTCCTCCTTCCTGAGTTCCAGCTCATCGCAGCAGGGCCCGTGGCCTGACCCGAGAGCCTGCAATGAGCGCCAATGGGCACGCGTGTTGATTTATAGATGTGCTACGGACTCCGTGCGGCTCCTTGCTCGTTTCTCCGCACACCACTGACCTTTTTCGCTACCCATGCTTCCGATCAGGCGGATCACAAGCCCCAGTGCACGGAACCATCCGACCCCTTGCAAAAGTGGGCAGCATTGCGGATGCCTTCGCACCAGTGATGCCTGGGAGTAGGAGGCGACGCAGGGAGAGGCGAGGCCACGGGCTGGGGGTGGACCTTGGTGCGTGGCACACAGGAGGCTGGCGCCTTCAACCCGTGGCCTCCAGTCACGGAAGGTTTCAGCTTGACCTGGACACCCTGGGCAGCCGCTGCCCCATGGGGCTGCGGGACGATTGTGCTGCTCATTCACTACATGGGGAAAGTGAGGAATGGTGGTTGGTACATCCAGGGAGGACAGCTCGAACGGGGCACGGAGCTGATGGAATTGTGAGCCATGTGAGTGAATGGCTTGCCCATGCAGCCACACGGTGACAGCAATTCTTAGTGTAGCTCTGAGAGAAAAGCTCTGGGACACAGGACTAGCACAGAAGGCCTCGACAATAACATTAAAACACTTTAAATAAAATTACTTAAGCTATCTGAGGAACTGGTTAAGGTGACGTTATCCTAATTTCTGTTGAAGTGCGGAGGCAGTATTTCTTCTGGGACTGTGTGTGCAGAAAAGGTCAGCTGTGGGAAACGGCAGTGCTCTCCATGTATCCTGTGCGTGTACAAGCAGGCCTTTTCCCATCCCCCATGGATTCTTCAATATAACAAGCATTCTGGGCATTCCAATGATCTTTACTGCTTCCTCTTAATAGTAAGAAGCCCCAAGGAAAAGGCACTAGAGCAGATGCTCCGGCTGTACTGGAAAGCAAATCCCACTAAAAGCACCATCTTGTTCTAAACAAATATCAGGCACCGGTCACACTGCCCTATTAGACCTACTTGTGTTACTCTAATCTAACAACTTTCTAAATCCATTTCTATCCGTGTCTCTTTCCTTCCATGCAGCCCTCCTTCTCCCTGCTGATATTTGTGCTGAGGTTGTACATAGCAATGAAGCAGTTTCTATGTTATCCACATCTGGAAAGTTTTTGGTCACTATTGGAGGGACCAACGCATACCTGAGCTTTCTAAATGCTTCACCAACTCTATGTGCCAAATGCTGACATTTTTTCAAAGTCTGCCCCCTCCTTGCTGCTAACATTTTTAATTAACATTTATTACTGACATTTGTATAGTTTGAGCCTTTGAACAGAAGGGCCTTAAAAGTCCTTATTTTCACAATCTCACCCCTCATTATTTACGAGCAAAAGCCCTGTAATGTGCTTGAATGCAACTGTGGTGGACAAAAGCAGTCTTTTCTTCCATATGCCCAAAACTGGCAAATCTTGAATTATCTTCATTCAAATAGACAAGTATTTCTTTTACCATAATAATGTACTAAGAGCTTTGCACTTGCAGTCAAAAATAGGTTTTTACTGGAATGCTTTTATGTCACATTTATAAGCAATAATACCAAGGATGTAATGCTTCTGGATCCCTTAACAAGTACAGAAAACTGCTTGCAAAACTATGCTTTTTTAAAACATAAGAAAGTGACATTCTCACAGTTATTCAACTGAATAGTTTGGGTTTTTAAAACAATGATAAGAGGCTATGCAGCTTCATCCCTCTCCTATTCTTCCTCCACTGATCTGTCTACAGTAGTATGAAATCGTTTAAATTATAAATAAACATAATTACCAATTAGCAATATATATATATATATAAACTTTTTTTTAAAAAAAGGAAAGAAATACTGGTAAGTATCTGGCTCCAAGACAGCAACAATGGAGTTCTGGATTCAGTATTGACACAGGAACGGCTTCTTGGCAGAAAGTGATTGGTGGGTCCTCCTGTCACAGCTGGGCGCTGGCCTCCCAGGGAGCTAAACACACACCTCAGAGCTATATACACGTTGTCTTCCACGGAAACTGGCTTGCTGCCACCCTGAAGCCGTGTCCACAGCGCTCTCTCTCAGCCAGTCAAGTGCAATATTTAAGGATAATGGGAACTGTAAAAGACGGAAAAGAGGCATCTTTAAGGCACCCGAAAAGGAACCACGGAGCCGAGAGGCCACACACCTAACCCCCCGTCTGCTTCAGCCATCGCACAGCGAGATCAGTCCAAACACCGTTCTAAGGCACACCGTTTTCGTATCACCATTAGGAAACAAGAGCAGATCTCCTAAACGTGGAACCTTATTGGTAGGTGTGTACCAGGCAAGAAGAGGAAGGGTGTATTTTTAAGGTAGGACTGTTTAAAAGGGAATGGGAATCGGAACCCCACCGGATAACACAGCCAATGCCAGAAACATTGGGAAACATAGTTTAACAGTACCTAAGGGGCAACTGGCTCTCCACCCCGGTTTTCAACTTTTTACTATAGGGGGCTGTTCATTTTGTAAAAGAATATAATCCGCTTCCTGGAAGGGAAAAACGACAAGCACCACTGCCAGCAGTCCAGAGCCTGCATGGGGTGGGGAATTTGCTGCCTTCAAAACGGCTTGAACGAACATCCTGCTGGCCTCAGTCTCCTTCCAGTTCTCAACTCAAAGCAGATGGATGTTGTCTGGCCAGTCATTCCATCAGGAACAGCTGGCCTGTCCTCCAACTCACGCCCTTATGAGCAGGAAGCCGATTTCCCTGGGTGGGGAATCGAGGCATTGTGGAAAGTTCTGCTGACCGCACACCCCACGAGTGGAACCGGCTCCTCCTAGAACATGAGCAGAACCTTCTCCTGGGAGGACACCTCAGAGGCAAGCCGGGGCCAGTAGGCCACCCGGCTCAGAGGGGGGCCAGTGCAGAGAGCGAGCAACGCAAGCCATCAAGGCTGGCAACGAGCCTCAAGTGATCACGGTACCTGAACCAGTGGGCTCAGTCTTGATAAGACTAGAATCGGGCTGCTCGTGTTCCAGCCGCCTCTCCCCCCCCCCCCCCAAACTGTCCCTTTACCTCCCCTCGAAGGCCGCTTTTCTAGCCTTGGAAAGCAGCCAGTGTGGTCCTGTCCAAGCCAGCGGTGAGGGGAGCAGGGAAAGCGGTCAGAACTCTGATCCCCAAGCCAAAGGCCACGGCACCCCCTCCAGCCTTGGGGCTGGGAATTCACAGGCTTCTACGGCCGCCTCACAGGTGCCCTCGGAGTAATCCGATGGTTCACCCTCCAACTGGGAAAACGGGAGGCGCCTCAGGTGTGACAAACCGTGCCCCACTGCCTTCGATTCGCAGAATAAGCATTTCACTCCCACCCACCCCCAACCCAGGAATAGTTACTCAGATTTAATGCCATTCTAAGTTGCCCCGCAAATTGCGCATAGCTGCCCACAGCCACCGTGCTCTGAGCTGCAGAGAATCCTTGAGGTAAGCCTATTTTCGACTCCCTCCGCTAAAATCAGTGTATCTTGAACAGAAATACTTTGGACTGGATTGAACCCATTTTTTCTTAAAAGGAGAGAGAATTCACATCTAAAAGTAAATGTAAGCAGTTAATACAATAAAACATAATGTAACAGAAAAGCAGCTGAGGTACCCCCATGTGCCAGCTGTGAAAGGTGGCTCTTGGAGAAAGGACACGGATGTTGAGTGCATTGTCTGGGCAGAGTGGGAAAGGCGGCCAGGTAGGGGTTCCATCGACGGCTGAAGTCCCAAGCCATGTAGTTGCTTTAGAGATTAAAATGAGAACCCTGAATCCAGCCTGGAGACGTTCCAGCATCCAGCGCAAGTGGGCTGCACGATCGGGACCTTTCGGTCCAAGTCATTAATCTGGCTGCCCAGTTGTGCACAAGCAGCAGCTGCTGAACAGTCTTCAAGGGCAGTCCCGTGCACAGTGCATTGCAGCAGTCCATTACAGAGACTGCCAAGTGCAGATGACTGCAACCAGGCTACCCCTGTCCAGACAGACAGCTGAAGCTGGCAGAGGGCGCTTGGAGCCACGGAGGCAATTTGCGTTCCGAGAAGGACCCCCCGGGCTATGCAGCTGCTCCTTCAAGGGGAGTACAGCCCCATCTAGAACAGGTTAAGTGCCCAGCACCCAGTCAGAGGCACTGACACGGCGTTGCTGTGGGAATGCACTCACCAACAATCACGAGCAGGACAGCGATGGCGACCAGCACCACAATGGCTTTCATCTACAGAAAGAAATGCAAAACAAAGCAAGCGGTGACTTCCCAGTTGCACATACTTTAATCCAAGCTCAACGGTGTGACTTTAAACCCTGGTGAATGCTTGCAGCATCAGCTGAACTATTCCAAATGGTTCCATGGTGTCAGTCTAGTGTGTGTGTCTGTGTCGAGAGACAGAGCGCGCACGCAAGTGAGCAAGAGAGAGAAGGGCAGAGAACAGAGTGGGCAAGGAATTGGGGTCCCTTCCATTCAAATCCTCACTCAGCTATTCACGAAGCTCACCCTTCTATACACAACACGATGCTGCGGTGCTTGGCCACAGGATCAGTCTCCAACGTGAGAGCACACAGCAAGACCTGACAAGGGTTTAATTACACCGGAGAAACGGAAACTGGCCTCTTCTGGCAAATTGCAAACATATGAGACCTATTCCTTAATCTGGTCTTCTGCCCAAGCAACGTTTCCAAGTTGCTGTACTAGCTTCCCCTTCGGAGCTTAAGCGTCTGCTCTTCGGTGCCACGTCAGTCAAAGCTGCAGGTCGTCCCGACATCGACCACGAAGACTTGGGCAGACGAGAGCCGAGGGGTTTATCCAACTCAAAGGGCCTGCCAGGTCACTCAGTGGTGCAGCACGGTGGACTGAATGGGAGGAGAAGAGCTGGTTATCGCACGAACACCGCCTCTCTCAAGGCTGTGCAAACCAGAACAGGACAGGGGGTCGGCTGATGTTTCGCCCTGCTCTGGCTGGCACAGGTGGTCTCCAGGAGGGGACGGAGAGCTCATTTCCCTGGCGAGTTCCATGTTCATGCAGAGGCCAACTTGGGCTAATGCAGTGACGAATTGCGGGAACTGCTTTTACCGACCGTCCGGGTCTCTGGTTCACTAGGATTCTGCAAGCGGCAAAGCGAGGGCAAAGGGGCCAGAATGGCAACAGAGGAAGGCTTGAGCTGCGCATGACTTGATACAACAGGGAGCCTCTCTGTGCAGAGAGCAGCCACAGCAGCACAATTCCAGACTGCTGGCCACAGGACCCAGTGCCCTCGCACGGACATGCCAAGCGGCTCTGGTGGGGCGAGGAGAGGCACGGGCGGAGCGGTGGCTCTGCTGTTGCATCCCAGCTGCTCATCTCACACGAGAGATCGGAGTGGGGGCTCCGATCAGGTCATCCCACCCCTAGAGGGACCGCAGGCGCTGGATCTGGTAGCCCAGCAGGCTGGATTAGACCGGCTGAGAGACTTTTCTAGGGCTCCACCTACTTTGTGAGACGCTCTGGCAGAGTCTTGTCAGATCCTCAGTGTGTTCTGGTTTAGGCAGCATGTAAAAACGTGGCTATTTAAGAAGCTCCTATAAACTGTCACTACCGTTGCTTATTAACCTGCATTCCTTGTTTAAATATTGCCCATGTGGCTTGAGTTCCTCTCAAGGAAAAGGGAAGAACATAAGCTTTTGAAGTAAGATAAGGTAAATAAAGGTAAACAAAATTTCAATCCATTCTTAATTACAGCCTGTAAGGAAAGGCACTGGTACATCATTTTAAGAATCTGGTGCATCTATTTTAAGAATAATCTCCCAGCCCCTCACCTTGCATCCTCGCCACCACATCTGTCGTCTGAGTTGTTTCGATCGGTTACTAAAAGCTGTTGCATTGTCTGATAAGCTGTCTGTACCACCGAGAGAGAGAGAGAGAGAGAGAGAGAATATACAAGGTTAACCTGCTGCAATACAGGTGAGGAGAAGCTTCCTTCTCTGTTCCAATAGTATTTTAAAGAAGAAATACCTAATGGTCACGTGTTCTTGCAGAGGTACTGCAAAGTCCATGCAATTTGTTTCCTTGAGAAGGAACATCAGGAACACAGACCAAATTAGGTGGTTCACCAGTTGGGTAAAGCCCACCCAGTGAATTAGTTTTGTAACTGTGCTTCAGACTTGTGAGGCAAGATGATCATTGGTTCAGGAAATAAAAGGGACTGCAAATATTTAGGGGATAAAAATGCCTGAAGCATGTCCCCTAAGACGCAGCTTTCAGCTATGAAGAGACAATCCTCAAAGCTGAGTGTCCCAAACATGGGATGTTCAGGCTCGAGCGGACAGGGCTGTGAACTAGCAGGAGTGCATTCCTCAGGCCACCAGAACTGGTTTCATTCTAGCTGACTGTTAAAAAGAACTGGTGACTGGGCTTTATTTCTTCCTTCCCCTGCTTCTCTTCTCCCGTCAGTACTGTAATTTTCAGACTACAACCCTGGCTGTTTAGTATGGGTTTGTAAGATGCTCTGAGAGCTTTTGGTCTGGACAGCAGAGTAAAAATCCTTTGAATGAATAAGTAAACTTGCAGAAGCAAGTCCAAGCAAAGGTCCAGATGGCGCCGCCTCTGTCAGGACCAAGCCGATCCGGCACACTCCTGCATCTCCCCACACGGAGCCACTCCTACCGCTCCGCCACACACGCAGGACGGAGGCCTCCCAAGTGAGGATCAGCAGCGGGAGGAACGAGGGCAGCGGAGGGAAGCTGGTGGCCCGGGTTCATTTCACGTAGATAGCAAGGCTGGGGAAAGACACCACCACCAGCCTGGACACGCACCTGGCCTTCTATCGCAGCCACAGTTCTCTTTTTATTTTGGGGGATGTGAGCGATAGAGGGAAAACAGGAGGGCCATGACCTGTTCTCCCCTGCAGCGGAGGGCAGGACGTGCTCCGCTGGGGTGAAGCTCAAGGAACCAGGCTTCAGCCTGGATGCCGGGAAGCACTGGCTGACGGTCAGGACCCCTAGGATATGGAATGGGCTTCTAAGGAGGTGGTTGAGGCCGCATCAGTGAGGGTGTTCAAGGAAAAATTGGACAACCACATGCTGGGGATGACATGAGCGGAGCTGAGAGCCAGGCCAGATGGCCCAGGAGGCCCCTTTTGAATCGCTTTGCTTCTGTTGTTTCCAACAGCCAGGAGAGAGAGAGAGAGAAAGAATGGGTCTACCTGGAGCGGGCATGCAGCCCCAGGGAGTAGCACTCCGGGAACAGATGGACCGGGATTCGGGAAGTCAGGGTTCCGGTCGCACTCGGGCATTATGCTGCCTGGGTTCCATGCCTACCTGACTTGTCCTGCAGGTCATCCAGCCGCTCCCCCCTCTCGATCACCCTGGTGATGTTCTCTTGCATGACGTCAATGACTTCGTCAACCTGGTTCTGGACACTGGATGAAATCAACGCGAGCGTGAATAACTGTGGCAGCCACGTCGGCGCAGCGGCAGCACACGCCACTGGTGAGGGGCTCCGTGTGTAAAGGTGTGGCCTCCATTAAACACCTGCAGGGTGCGCGGGCTTCTCTCTGCCTTACAGTGCCGGGGGAAGCAAACACGGTCGCCTAGTTTTTCGAACAGGGACGTGGGTGACTCAGCCAAGCTGTCGGTGGCCAAAGCAGGACTTGAGCCGAAGGCTGCAGGATGCGACCCCAGCGAGAGCCGTCACCTGCCACGACCGCTCCAGCTGGTCATGATACAACACGATGGGGCGCCCAGCAGAAAGAACACGGTGCTCGTTCTGTTTTCCTCCCTGCTCCTTTCCTCTTTATTGCACAGCATCTCAAATGGGAAAACATCAGTATAATAAAGTATGTGGCTCCTGGAGTGCTTTGGCAGAAAGGCGGCACAGAAACATAGCAAATATATTTTGCGCCTTAGCAACTGCGCTCTCAGAGGGTCCGGTAAACAACGGGCCAGTTCTCGTCTCGCCGAGATGGGGCAACTTGCATTGGAGCTGCCCAGCTGCAAACATGACAGTGCGCCCTCAAAAGCCCGCAATCTGTGCCCAGAAAGGACGGGCATGTCAACATGAAAAGTTCCAGCTTAATGTTCAGCTCAACATGCTAAGCTTCCCTGCGCAGAGAAGTGTTAAATCTTGAGAGACAGGTTTTAACAATTACCATTTCATAATTATTTACGTAATGCAGAATGATAATATAATACTGTCCCGAGACTCTGGTGAAAGGGCAGGATAGAATAGCTTTTAATAAATGAATGAATAACATCCAGTCTTTAACGCCACTATATACTGCTCATAATCAATGTGAACATCAAAGATGTCCACAAACTAAAAGCAGCCTTAAGAATTTGAGTGCATATCAAGGTTGACATTAAAACATCCCCAGGAAGGAGTTGTAATGACCTCAGTGTTTTGTTCCAATAAAGAAGGAAGATTCCACTTCCTAGTCCTCTCCATTCTCTAGCTCTTACCGTGTTAGCCAGTTTCACCTGGCTGGCCATCTATCAGGCCCCAGGACAACCTTTACTGAGCAACTTCCAGCAAAAACTGAGTGCCCTTTGGCCAGCTGCTAAGAGGTGAGCTACCATATTGCTATCCTTACAGGCAACCAGGTTAAGATGCTCAAGAAGAGGACGCCTGTCCCCACACTAAAGGGATCTCATTCAATGCTGAGGACCAACATCGGAAGACAATTTACGGTAAAGCCACTTTTGCTTGGCTTGGCTTACTGAAGTGCTCTTGCTGAGTTACCAGCTCCATGAGAACTAGCTCCCAAGCTACTACTGTTGAGGCCCAGTTCAACACCAGCACCCGCAGTGGAAGCCAGCCTCCCGACCGAGACACCTCCCTTCCTGCATACCAGTTTATCTCCTCACCCACGGCAGTCAGGCAGACAGAGGAAGTGACAGCACACTCTGTGGATCAGCAGCATAACTGGGTGTTAACGCATCCCCAGGTCTCCTACCTACACTAAGCTTTTCTGCCAATAAGCGTGTCACACCTGCTCCCGGTTGGGGGAGAGAACCAGGGAAGGGGCACGAACGAAGGCCGAACCAGAGCATTTCAATCAGGAGAGAGCTCCCGCAAGTGTGCACCTGAAAATGACCCCTGCCCTTTGCCTACTGCCAACACCACCGCGTGCAAGGGCACACACAGGCGAGCAAGAAGCGAGCGTGCGTTCTGGACCATGCTGTCCATTGCAGGCCCTCCCACCCGTCTCTATCACACACGCATCCTCTGAAGCGGTTCCTCTGCGGTCTCTCAAGCAGGCAGCTTCCCAGCACAGGCCTTTTTAGCGTCAACAACAGAACAGAACCATATGCTTTCGGACTGTCCTTTGGGTTTTCACTTCAGAGAGAAGTAGTGGCAAGGAAACAAGTCCTGGGGCCAAGGGAAACACCAGGCTCCAGACGCTGGACAGTTGATGGGTCTCTGGGAGTTGGGAAGGACACTGAGTCCAGAAATCAGCCTCCACTGTTTCTCCAACTGGACATTAGGCTGAGGAGTGCAAGAAAGGGGGCAGATGGATAGCCCCTTCCCACACACTGCTCTTCGTAAATAAACCAGCCTGTGGAAGCCAGCACTTGCCTCCACCCACTGGATCTGCACCTCCTTTTGAAAGCTGCAGATAATCTCTCAATTTAGGCAGAAAGACTGGGCAGTCTGGCCACTAATAGCAGGGAAAATCTGGCAGGTTCCAGGCCATCCCTCCTGGAAAGAAACTAATACAACCCCGGTTGAAGTCTGGAGACTGCTTTCCCACCGCTTTGGCTTCCACCCCCGCTCAGTCCCAAGGCTGCAAATAGATTCTAATAACAGCATTCACACATTTTCAGTGTTTTTTAATCTCAGCTAGGGAACACATCGCATCGTTTTAAAATATCACTTAAATCACTTCTGTGTTTCAAAAAGAAACCTATTTATGGAGGGTTAATGTAACTGATTTTTGTTTGGTTGCTGTCCTGGCTCTGTGGCCAGTTTTCCCAAGTAATTTCAGACAGGAATGCAAGTAAAAACAAAAGCGAAAGCCCAGCGATCTTGCGACTGTTTGCCTCTCCCTGGCCTCCCTCGCCCTTGAGTCCCTTGTCTCCAACCTGCTTGTTTTAGGAGGACAAACTCCCTGGGCAAGCCAAGTGCTGGCAGGGGGCACCGGGCACTTCAATGCAACACGCGCACGCACCGCCCTCAGAATACGGCAGCTCCCGCCCACCTTGCATCCCACCAGCTTTCAGGCACGGAATCAGCTGCAAAACATACCGCTTGCTTAGGAACTGTCACAATGCTTGTCTCCATGCCAGAGGAACACAACAAGCATGCCAAGCAAGGACCAGCGAGGTCCTAGATGACACCAGTTCGACGAAGCTATGCCCAGCCCTAAACGTGGAGCCTCACACCTGTTTCTGCCTCCTTCCCCATCGCCTGCCCGTCTACGTTCTGACCTGGTCTTCCATCCTCTCTTCTGTGACTGCATGGAAGAAACACTCATGCCTTGTTTCCCTCACCCAGTAACCAACCTCTTTGAACCGCTTCTAGAGACTGCCAAAAGAAGAGGTAGTAACGTGGGAGAAGGAGCCATGCTTTTGAGCTCGCTTGAGGGGGATGTACAGCACCGGAAAGGTGCACCTACTTCCTCCAATAAATGCTTCCTTCTGTGGGACATCACTATGGGACATCGCCCCAGCGCAGGTGCAGACTGACATTCTTTCTGAAGCTTGTGGGGCTGCTGCTGCCCGGCACGCTGCCTGGAAGTGCTGTGGGTGCTGCCTTTGGCCAGATTCTGTTCTGCCCAAGAGCCCCTTTGGAGGCAGAATGGGCACCCCCTCCTCTTGCACACAGTCGTGGGCAAAGGGAGGACAAGGCAAGGCTCCTCGTCCACACCTAACAGCGACTTAAGTCTACCTGGGTGGGGCAGAGCTGTCCTTTGAGGAGATCCCCCATGAAGGAGAGCTTGTGAGCAGTAGACGTTGTTGACCTGTAAAGCTCCGGGACAAATACATGCGTGTCAAGACACGCATATGGTTTTTATTCCCGTGAAAGAGGACAGGAAGGAATATGAATGGCATCTGGCTAAGGCAGTGCAGGGAATGTGCTACTCTTCCTGTGAAGGAGCCTCGAAGGGTTGTGGAAACAGGAGGCGACTGCCTTCTCTCCTCCATGGACAGAACTGTTGGCTAAGCTCTTAGGAGAAGACATCCAAATCGTTTTGACTTCTTCCCTCTTGCTTTGGTAGAGTTGGTGACTGCTAGCCAACTCTTAATTGCCTCCCATTTGTTCTGCTACTATGAACCTATTAATTTTTGCTGTCAAGGTCCCCTGAAGGGTGCCAGGATCGGATGCACCACAATAGCAAGGGGAGTAATTAGCCAACAGATGAAAGCTTTTAAACAGCACACACTGTTGCCAAGTATCTGGTAAAGCTCTTCTTGTTGAAAACAGGAACATCTTTCTCAAGCCCTGGAAACTTCTAGATTCAACACAGATGCTGCAGAAACTTTGATTGAAAATATAGCCGTTTTATGTTTGAAATTCAAGCATGAAAAGACCAATTTCAGATACAGCAATGTACTTACTGCCTGATTTTGTCATTCTTGGGTCCAAACCTTGGTCCGGATGGCCCTCTCCTGGAAAGAGATAACAGAAGCGATAGGAGAGATAATCAAATCAAGCTGTTGGGCGTTGCTTCTTGTCTACTTGAGCAGACAAATGGCAAACCGTGTGGCCGATCCACAGACAGACTCCTGGAGTCTGCAAGTATTACACAACGAGGGCTTGTGGGGCCAGGAGGAGCAGTGTACTCTGAGGCTGCCAAAAGGGGCGACCAGGCTGAGCCTTTAAAGTCACCCTGAAGTTTAAGTATAAGCACTCCACCTAGTTGTACAGCAGCATCCCCCAGGTTTGAGAGATGGCGCTCTAACACTGAGCCATGGTCAATGGGCCAGATTAATGCTACACAGCCCACAAGAGGCCTGGGACTCCACACCAGGGACTGGAAGCCCAAGCAAGAGTGAACCACCTCAGTGAACAGACTGCTCAGTTGGCCCAGCTCCACTCATGGCGATACTTACAAGAAAAAGTCCTCCTCTTCATCTGAATCTTCCTCCAGGAGGTTTCTCTGCAACACAGAAGATTTGGATGTCACAAGGTTAAATGCCGGACAAAGAAAACCACAACTCTTTCAAATGCTTATTGCTAACCGCAACCAACAAACCAGCTCTGGGTTAAACTGTCTGGAGTGGGGATTTATTTTAGACTCTAGAGATGATAAAACACAACCCCACAACCTGGAAATGCTAGCACTCTGCCTTTAACAAGTGTTCCCTTCCATTTCTGCATCCCATATACCAGGGGTCCTCAAACTTTTTCAACAGGAGGCCAGCCGAAAGGTGCTGGCAGGGGGCGTGGGCTGGTGAGCGGGGGCGCGCAGCGAGGTGAGGCAGAGGCTTGCCTGTGCGGGCACACATGTGGAAAGTCCAAAACCTCTGAGGCGGGCCGCATCCAGCCTGCGGGCTGTAGTTTGAGGACCCATGCCATACACCATAATCCATTTTAGAAACTCAACTGATGCAACCCAAAAGCCAAGTTTAACATCCTTGGAAAGACCAAACAGCATTCCGACTGTCTCTAATCAATATCCTATAAAGAAACAGTCTGCGTTTTTCTGTAAACCATCATAATGGGTCATCTGGTATTTACTGAAGTGCATAATATTTTCCAGTTACCAGGTACACAGATTTAAGCAATTAAACCAACGGATTATGTAAAACACAGGAAGTCCACCTCCTACAGACAGATATCTAATACCAGGTTGATTTCTATCATCTATTTCTGTCCTTAATCAAATTAACTCACTGTGATCTGGATTTCAAAGTTTTTACTAGGAAAAGAGCTCCCATCATTTCTTCCGCTAGCTTCTGTGAGTTGGGATGGAGAAATCTGAACCTCCATGTGAGCAACTGAAGGTGTGTTTAGATAAGCAAGTTTTACCACACAATGCCATCAAGACGCAACATTTCCCTGTATGTGCCATTGTTGATGTATAACGTATGGCTTATATATGCCCCCAACACAATATGGGGCACACACAGCTACAGGAAATTAGTTCTCTAAAGCTGAACTGAAAAGAATGCTAGCGATGCTCTGCTGGATTTGCCCAGAGGCCTCTCTGGGCTGGCCTTCAGTCTGCACAGTCACGCCAGATGCTCTGGGGGAGTTCCTGGCCCGCTCACTGTGAATGCCAGGGCACCCTCTCACCCGTGCTCACTAACAACCGATACCGAGCTAATACAGAGACTTCAGGAGCATTTTCTGCAGCTGCGCCACGGTAAGAGAGCACGGTAGGACCAAACAACAGGGGACCATTCACAGAGAAACCGCCAACGGCATTTGCATAACTCACCCCAAGACAGAAGTCAGACAAAGTTTTGCCTAGCAATACTGTCCATCATCCTGGGTCTAGGAGCAGGGAGGTCAAATGAAAAGGAAAGAACCATAAATCCACAGCATGTGCCATGATCCATAAAGGATCTAACACGTGTGGAAAACAGAAAGTCGCTGCGCTGAACCCCAGCATCAGGATGACCCCTAGGAGAGTTAGCTCCACAGGCACCCGGATTACAACGGACAAAGGTCTACCTGGGAAAAGGTCTGTTGCAGTGCTCAGTCAAACCCGGAGGGCAAACGGAAGGGACAAGGTGTCTCGGGGATGCGCCTTTCCAGGACAGGACAGGACGCGACAGCAGCCGTGGAACTATTACAGGTTATTTCCCATCCAGAGCAGGGGAAAAGGGAAGGTGTCCCGGCACAAATCATCATCAGGCTGGTGCAAATCCAAATGAGCACAAGAGAACCCTGGGTGCTCCCTGCCCTGCTCCACAGGAGAGCTCTGCTGAGTTTCTTCTGCTCTGAAGCAGTGCTTCCCCGCGGGTGGGACTCGAACCTGGAGCCCAAGAAACCATTTTTACCTCCACCACAAACCCTTGTCTGTGTTTTGGACAAATTTCCTCCCAGTTCTGATTGGTGAGATTAATCTAACTGCTATCAAAAGATTCTTATGAAAATTAATGGAACCAAAAACCTGTTCACTAATCTGCATCTTTAAGGAAACAGAAACAGAAAAATACACACCCTATTTCAACTCTTCTTCCCTAACCAGCTCCTGAGAGATCTGGAAAGTGTCTGCTATGGTGTGTGTTTTATTATAATTAAAAATAATAATTTCAGAAAACTGCTTGAAGACTGGGCTCTTGATGACCATTTCTTTCAGAAGATAGTGCCCACTGGCAAAGCGAGGAAGCCTCTTTTCCAGTAGGTTTATTCCTCTTCCTTCTCCCTCTCATCAAATCTACTCCTTTAAAAATTAATTTATGATCCCTTGTACTGAGTATTCAGCATACTGCGATTCTGTGTAAAATGTAAAACTGGTTATTGTCCCTATTTCTTAATGTTTCTGTTTATTCTTGTTAATGTTTTCCCTCACTTCTCATACAGTTTTTAACAATATTAAAACTGGTCTGAAACTTTTATACTCTTTACCTCCCATTGTCAGCATCCCTCTCAAGTTATTAAAAATGCATTTATTTATATCCTGACTTTTTCCCCACAAGGAACCCAGGGTAGCTTATATAATCCTCCTCTTCATTTTATCCTCTGAACAACCCTGTGAAGGAGATTAGGCTGAAAGCTGGTAACTAGCCCAAGTCGCCCACCGCGCTTCATGGCTGAGTGGAGGCCAGGACCTGCATCTCCTGAGTCCCAGTCCAGCACCCTAACCAGCATGCCACGCAAGCTCTCCACAATAGAAGAATAAAAATAAGTGCAATAAAATATTTCAGAGCAGAATAAAAATAAAAAATATATCTGAATGGGAACTTCCGTAGTGTGTGGTCTGTTTTTCAGAACGTATTATTTTGCTTTTCAGGTGCGATGGACAGTCATGGCTATGCAGAAGAATTACTAGAGGAAGTCTGACCACACCTCGGGTTGTGTGCTGGTCACGTGACCAGAGCGGCATTGTCAAGTGATGGCCTTTCCCGTGATTGCCTGGCCCAACACCTGAAGAACTGGCCTGCTACCCAATTCACCCACCTTCTTAATGAGACTGCACGCCCTGCCTGCGCCACACGCCTCAGCCTCCCGCCCACCTATTTCCCTTCGCTTCCAGTTTGCCTTGGGACTAAAGGAGGCCACACAGGGAGGACTCAGACACCGGCCTCCCAGAGGGAGCACTGCAGCCTGGCCCCAACCGCTGGCCCACGCAGCAGCGGCTTGCAGAAGCTGGCCCGCCTCCCGCCCCTGCCGAAAGAACATCCTGCGCCAGCTGCAGGGACCCTGCAACCTGGGCTCTGAAGAGGAGCATATTCGGGCCCCAGACGCCTGCCTGAGGGGTTGCTTGTGTAAGTGTTTCATTTCCTCCGCTATCCCCTCTCTTACCACTATTCAAAAGTCAGGACACAGCCCTTCAAAATAAGGAAATACTGCCAAGCAGCGAGAGGCCGACCCTGTGCTCTCCTTGCTCTCGAATGGATTTCCGTTCTTTGGCATTAGCTATGTGCACAGGAGGGTTATAAAAACAGCAGGAGATAATGTACATTAATTACTCTGAGAACTAAAGGAAACGTTTTTGGACTACATTTTAGCCTAACGTGTCACAGACAGTTGTACAATGAACCCTACATATCCTATTGGGGAGTTTTTAAGCAAAATTGTGTAGGAATCTACCAGGCACACTTCGGAAAAGGAAGTGGCAACCTGGTGCCCTCCAGTTGTTCCGGGAATGCAGTTCTCATAAAGCCTGACCATTGGCCACACTGGTAGCAGCTCCCGGGAGTCACGGCCCAAAACATGTTTGGCCTACCACTGCTTTAGACAGACTAGCCTGCCTGTCTTGTTGAGAGGCTGTCAGCAGTTTTCACCGCAGTCCATGTATTGATGAGGAAATCCAGATGTTCACTAGTCAAGACATGATTCATTTAAACGTTCCATTATCACCTATCATTTCCCAGGGCTCGAAGCCATTTTCCCCGGATGGGGTAGGGGACTGACGAAAGTCCTTCTGCTGCCGCAACCGGGTCCATTGGCAAGACAGCAAAGTTCAAACACGGGAATAAAGTTGAGGCCTTTGTGCACTCACCCTCTCACTTTTGACTGACCCAGTGACATCATCATCATTGAGGTGCCGTTTGAACTTGGGGGGCATATCTTCATTCGGGTGTTGCTTTTACTTGTCCAGTACGAGGGAAAGAGGAGAAACTCGCCACCTAGAAGAGAGGCATAAAAAGAAAATCCTACTCAGGCTGGAGTTTACTTCCCAGTCTTATACAGATTGATCACAGTGGCACCTGCATAGCTTTCCTCATACAAACTGGTACATGAAAAAGAATAGGAACCCTAGAAGTTTCCAATAAAAATAGCGTCTTTTCATCCCCACATTATTTATTTTATACTAGCAAATGTAAGGCTTCAAAGGGTTGCAGTAACACTTGGCATGATACAGTGAAGCCTGTAAGCAAAGTTATGCAGCTGTTAGAACTGGACAGGTCACGCCTGTCCTGAGTGACAACATGGCACCCCCAGGCAGAGCCCCTCCCATGGGTAGCCCAGCAGGGCACTGAAGCTTCCACACATGCCATTCCCTTGATGGGACTGGCCTCAGACTCTACTGGCCACAAAAACTATGCGCTGTTAGAGGCGTCCAATTAAACTATGTGCTTAAAAAAACGAAATAAGCCAGAGATGCTGACCAATAAGGTCCACTTAGTATGTATGCAAAGTCCCACAGTCCAGGTGTCACGATCTCATTGCTATGGCACCAAAAGCAAACCTCCTCTTATCACTGATAAAACGTAGGTCCACTGCACCAAAAATGTTCAAGACGGGGAACTTCTATTAAGACTGAGCTCTAAGACCTTCGGTCAGATTTTGCATATCACAGAGTTCTTGCACCTTTTTTTTTTTTAATCCTCCCAACTCTTTGTGCAAGAAGCTTTTGACAAAAGACAAAGATTTTAATTATTGCTAACGGTATTGATCATAAGACTGGAAGAGAAAGGAGTAAAAAGAGCTTTTAAATAATCTCTGCCATCCTTCATGGATCACTGCCTTGTTGTGGCGAAGGGGCTTGCGTAGCTCAATGAAGCTCTGAGCTATGCCGTGCGGGGCCCCTCAAGACGGACAGGTCATAACAGAGAGCTCTGGCAAGACGTGATCCACTGGAGAAGGAAATGGCAACCCACTCCAGTATCTCTGCCATGAAAACCCATGGACAGTACCAAAAGGCAAAAAGATATGATGCCAGAAGATGAGCCCCTCAGGTCGGAAGGTGTCCAATGTGCTACTGGGGAAGAGCAGAGGGCTAGTACTAGTAGCGCCAGGAAGAATGAAGCGACTGGGTCAAAGCCAAAAGGACACTCAGTTGCAGATGTATCTGGTGGTGAAAGGAGAGTCCGATGCTGCAAAGATCTATACTCCATAGGAAGCTGGAATGTAAGATCCATGAATCAAGACAAGCTGAACGTGGTCAAACAAGAGATGACAAGACTGAACATCGACATCTTAGGAATCAGTGAACTAAAATGGACAGGAATGGGTGAATTTAATTCAGATGACCATCAGGTATACTACTGCAGGCAAGAATCCCTCAGAAGAAATGGAGTAGCCTTCATAGTCAATAAAAGAGTAGGAAAAGCAGTACTGGGACACAATCTCCAAAATGACAGAATGATTTCAGTTCGAATCCAAGGCAAACCATTCAACATCACAGTAGTCCAAGTCTATGCCCCAACGACTGGTGCTGAAGAGGCTGAAGTTAACCGGTTCTATGAAGGCCTACAACACCTTCTAGAAATAACACCAAAAATGATGTCCGTATCATCATGGATTGGAATACTAAAGTAGGAAGCCAAAAGATAACCGGAATAACAGGCAAGTTTGGCCTTGGGGTACAAAATGAAGCAGGGCACAGGCTGGTAGAATTTTGTCAAGAGAATACGATGGTCATAGCAAACACTTTTCCAACAACCCAAGAGACGACTCTACACATGGACATCACCAGACGGTCAACACAGAAATCAGATTGACTATGAGCTCTGCAGCCAAAGATGGAGAAGCTCTATACAGTCAGTAAAAACAAGGCCAGGAGCTGACTGTGGCTCAGATCATGAGCTTCTTATTGCAAAATTTAGGCTTAAATTGAAGAAAGTAGGGAAAAGCACCAGATCATCTTATTTGTCTCTAGAGAAACCTATGTGCAGGTCAAGAAGCAATGGTGAGATTCCGCCCGTATTTTCTGCTGGAGCCGCCTCTGATCAGGCACACCTTCCCTGCATGAATGGAACTGCAATTGCAGCCATCCCCCCACCCCCAATGCACCATTTGTGCCCATCTCTCCCTCCCCCAGTGCGCCTGCGATCATGCCCGTCTCTCCCCCTCACCCCCCAGCGCGCCGGGATGACGGGTGTGCGCAGGGATGACAGGCACGATCTTGGTCATGCTGGGGGGGCGGGGAGATGGCAGTGCTTGTGCTTGCGGTGAGGGGGGGGGGAGATGGCCGCGATCTTTGTTGTCACTTTGCTTCACATTTTTCTGATTTAAAAAATGGTTACAGAACGGATTAACCTTATTTACATTGTACCTTATGGGGAAATTTAACTTGGCTCATGACCAGTTTGGGTCACGACCAGAGTCCTGGACGGATTGAGTTTGTGAGCCAAGGTACCACTGTAGATGGGGAAGAAATGGAGGTAGTGACAGATTTTATTTTCCTGGGCTCCAAGATCACTGCAGATGGGGACTACAGCCAAGAAATTAAAAGACGCTTGCTCCTGGGAAGGAAAGCTATGGTAAATCTAGAGAGCATACTAAAAAGCAGACACATCACCCTGTCAACAAAAGTGCATATCATCAAGGCTATGGTTTTCTCAGTTGCAATGTATGGCTGTGAAAGCTGGACCATAAGGAAGGCTGAGCGCCAAAGGATTGAGGCCTTTGAATTGTGGTGCTGGTGGAGACTCCTGCAAGTCCCTTGGACTGCAAGGCGATCAAACCGGTCAGTCCTAGAGGAGATCAGCCCTGACTGCTCTTTAGAAGGCCAGATCCTGAAGCTGAAACTCAAGTACTTTGGCCACCTAATGAGAAGGAAGGACTCCCTGGAGAAGAGCCTGATGCTGGGAACAACAGATGGCAAGAGAAGAAGGGGACGGCAGAGGATGAGGTGGCTGGATGGAGTCACTGAAGCAGTCGGTGTGAGCTTGAGTGGACTCTGGGGGACGGTGGAGGACAGGAAGGCCTGGAGGAGTGTTGTCCATGGGTCGCAATGGGTCGGACACCACTTCATCCCATGACAGAGAGGATGGGCAGCAATTCCTTTTTAATCACTGAGAGTTTACAAAGAGTGGCAAAAAAGAAAAATCAAGATCCAATCCATTATTTCAAAAAGATAAAAAAGACATTTTGGCACAACTCTACTTTCTTTCACACTTCTGCACCCCTCAAAAAGCAAATAACCTTAATGAACACTGTTAGAGCAGTGATGCCAGATCAGCCGCCCGGCATTGTTTCCACGAATGGCCACCAAGACGCTGCCAGTCGCACGGCAGGAAGCCTGTGTGCACCAGTTATGTATTTTATCTCCGTTACTAAGGAAGTGGGATGGTGTGTCCAGTTGGACTTATGCCCTGCGTGTGGATCCCCCGGGCTGCTGTGAGGCCAGAATGCCAGATGGGCCCACGATCTGATCCAGCATGGCTCTTTTTATGCGGTGTGAAGGCACTAGGCTCTCCACACACCCTCCCCCCACTGAGCAACTGATCTTCAGGAACACAGCACCCCTGAATACAGGATGACACCTTCAAAAAGTGTCATCTAACACACTGACTTTGTAAATAACCCTCGCAGACCAGGACAATATTCCTTGGTGCTGAAAGGCGAATGCTTTGAAGTAACAGGCTCAAGCAAGAGTTTGCGTGAGAACCTTTTAGTCAACTAAATTTTGGTGTTTTTTTTTAACTCAGTATTTCTGAAAACAAAAAGATACTGGGAAGATTTATAATTTGCCAATCCATCTTTGATGAACTACAGGTATCTAATATTTTGTTGCATACGCTGCTGACCTGCACTGGTCAAGCACCATGACCGGAGGCCAAATCCAGTAGTCAGGCGTAAGTCACAAACCTTCCATTCCCATTACCAACACAAGGAATGCTACCTAGCTGGATTACGAAATGCTTTTTGAAATCCTTGCACACGGGCAGAAGAGCATCTACGACAGTCAAAAGGCACCGGAGCATTACAGAAACAGAATCATCTAGACAAAGGCAATTAAAGCCATACAGGTATGTGTCAAAAGATGTTGTGCAGCTATTGTGTGCTTACCACCTTAATTACTTTTTGTGGAAAGGAAGTGGATAGAGACATTGCAAAAACCCGTATAGGATAGAATTTCTTGAAGGATACAGTGTGAATGCATGATAAACTTCTCACCCTGAAGTACCCAATATTAAATGTACGCTAAATATGTAAATGTTATTTTTGCAAAGCATTCTCGTCTTTCATACTCATCATCTGTGGAAGCAGCATGGAAATCCTTAGTAGTGCTTGCAGGGGGCATATGGGACAGAACTGGGAGAACATAACTGGCAATTACAAAGAAGAAAAAAACGCACTGTAGATCACAAGACATCAGCCCTGAACACCAGAAACGATCCACGGGAGAGACCAGGATTTGCCCTGCTGGGCAGGATGCGCCCCCCACCAAATCAGGCGCCCCAGCGCCCCGAACGACATGCACTCCCCAGCATGGTCGATTATCCCAGCATCTCCGGGAAGGGCTGGGGAAGGACCCGATCCGAAACCGGGGCAGGGCTGGCCGCCTGTGCAGGCACTGCAGGCCAATGCTCCGAGGAGCGCACGGTCCCGCCGGTTCGCTCTTCCCCTTCACCGGGGGCCTCGGAAGCCCCTGCGAGGTCCCGGAGAGGCAACCGGGCCGCGCCCCGCCGCTCTGCTCCTCTGGCGACCCAGGCAGCCCCCCGCGAGGCCGGGCCTGGCGCCCGGTTGCAGCGGATCCAGGCGGGCCGCTCCATCCGAGGGGACCTGGCGCGGCCCCCGGCCCGAGCGCCCGGCCAGGAGGGAGGAGGGCCGCCGGCCTGGCGCGGCCGAACTGCAGCCCCTCGGAGGCCGGGCCCGCCGCCGCCGCCGCCGCCGCCGCCCGCAGCCTCCCGGGCCGGGCGGAAAGCCGCGCAGGCACGAGCCGGGCGCGCGGTCGACAGCCGGGCCTGGGCCAGGAGCCTCGCCGCCGCCGCCGGCCTCAAC